TGGAAAAAAACAAAACGGGGGGGGGGAGGGGTACAGGACTAGGGAGGTGGCAAAATAATGCTGCAAATTATTATAATTCTGCAGACCAGGGTCTCTGGGCTGCTCTTCTCTCTAGTGTCGCAGAGACAGGTCGGTGCCACATGCTCTGGCCACTCCACACCTGCTGTTACTTGCTGCCAGAGTCTGCCTGGGCAGCAGCAGGCAGAAGTCAGTCCTACTGCATGCTCCCTACGCTTTTCTGCTTTAGCTTTTTCTGCCCAGTTTTTGGGCAGTGGGTTCAACTATCTTGATGTGCCTCCTCCTACTGGGGTGATTAAACCTTCAGAGTTTTAACCCTCCCTGAGCCTCCTCTGCCCCTTACAGGCATGGCCACGCAACCAGGAGAGCACTGCATCAAACTTGTGCTCCACTTGTCAGGCAGCTTTCCCAGGCTTGGCAGACATTGTGTCCAGCCCGCACCCAGCCTTCCGTCCCTGATACAGTTAGGTCCTGGGGCTACAAGTCGGGCTGACAAGCGGAGTCCTTACCCACTAAGGCAGCAATGACTCCAACTGGGCAAAACAGACCAGGAACCCCAGTGCAGAAAAGGGAGCAGCTCCATGGTGTGTCAGAGCTCTACCATCCCTTCTCTGCCCCCCTTGCATGCCCCTGACTCTGAGACAGGCCAGCAAGTTGGGAATGGTCCTTCCTTGGGCAGGGGGCTGGACATGATGACCTTCTGAGGTCTCTTCCAGCTCTAGGATTCTAAGAAGCCTCATTCCACCAGGGAATTCTCTGCTGAGTTCTGTCTGAAAATCTTCCCCCGTTGTGTCACAGTGTTGGAGAATCTGGCCCTACAAATCAAAAGGATGCCCTCATTTGAAAATGCCGTATTCAATTCTAGTCACTCCACCTCAAAAGGACGTAGCAGATCTAGAAGGAGTCCAGAGGCAAGCCATGAGAATGATTAGGAGCTAGTGATATTGAGAAGGCTTGTTCTGTTTTGACAAAGGAGAGAGAAGATGATCCAGGTACAGGACAGAGACGGGAAGGCAGATCAGCTGGTACTACCTCCTAGTTCTTATGATACAAGAACAAGGGGGAGAGTTAATTAATTTAAAAGTCAACACATTTGAAACTGATAAAAAGCCAATGTGGTTTATGCTGCTTGTGGAACTCCTTGCCACTGGCTAACAGGGAGCACTGGAGTGC